TTTTCTTTTACAATGGAGAGTATGTTGACCAGGGCTCTAGAGTAGCACATGAAAAGCACATTACCAACTGGAACATGGGATGCCCAAGTCTTATTTTCGTGGCATGTTACAGGCAGTGGATTTCAGTAGATCACTCTGCAATCTGAGTCAGGTCAGGCTAGAAAAGACATTTTCCCTTCCCAAATGTGTGCATAGCGGAATCAGTTCTCTATGTCTTTTTAATAGAAGCTGCAAATAAATTTCATCCAAACTGTACTAAAAATTAAATTGTTTGTAGTAGTGTGGCAAGGACAGTAACTGCTGAGAGCCATTACTGCAATCAATCAGCGTTCTAGTGCAAGATGGTGATCAAGGGCAAAAAAAAAAGCATTAGTTCAGTTAAATTCATTTTGAAAGGACATTAATTCAACACATAAAATATCTTTTTGGCAGGACGTAGCCTACTGAACATGTTTTTACCTTTAAGTTTCCATTGCATGCTTATGGAAAACATGTCTACTTTGTGTTAGCTGTCCTGGATTAGCCATGAAAAGATAACTGCCATGGCTAAAACACTGTCCATATCCTTGTTATTTCAGTGATCTTGTCGGATCCACTGCTTATCAATGCCATGCCTTTCCTTGACCAAATATCTAATGAAGTCAGTCTAGCCAGCCTCTCCCTCCGGGGTATGCTCTATTAACTTTCCCTGGTTCCTCACACGCAGTATACACTAGCCCACTTTTCTTACCTGTGTTTCAGACCTTGTCTCACAGTGTTTTTCCAGTTGTTGGACTCAATATTACAGCCATTACAAATATACAACTTGGCTCACTTGGGTCTACTTTATTTCTGTCATACTGCTCTTAAGATATGCTGAAAATGCGCCTGGCTTTTCAATAAGTACAAAGTCCCCGCATCTCACATTTAATACAAGTGAGCTGCTTTCTGCACAGTATACAGGTGATAAGTTTTTATTAGGGTGCAATAATTTTATCTGATGTGTGCCTCAATACAGCCTTCTTTTTGATCGATGTCACAGATTACAACTTACACCTTACAAAACACATTTATTGGGCCTAAACCAACATTCAGTATGTAACGTACTCCACCTCTGCATGCCTGGCTGTGCAGGAGCCTTGACAAGGAAAAGTAAGTAGCGCATAATGAATTAATACAGTTATGGAACAACTAGTCCTGTCTTAAATTAAATCTGTGCAGATGATGATCCAAGAGAAAGATCCTCTGAACAGACTGCAGAGATCCCGCCTCACACTCCAAGGCAACAGTCCTATCACACAGACAGATGCTTGTTTTCAAATGCCTAGTACCTAGAAAAGCAGCCTAGCCTTGAATGTAGTAGCATGCACCCTTCAACAGGCAGCTTGCATACTGTAACCTGGCTGATTCAGGGTTCTGTAGCAATCTGTTCCAGCCCACCTTGTTGCCAAAGATGGGGAAATACAGGATTTGTAGTTTATTCATTACTCAGAAACAGATAAACTGCTATTTTGAAATAGCTGCCTCCCACACATCTTTGCTTCAGGAACCATAAGCCGTTCTGGTACTTCTCAGAAATGAATTTGGCATTCTGAATTAAGCCAATGGAAACCATGGTGGTCTGCTGACAATAAAGTCCAAATAAGGGGTTCGTGTGCATGAGTCAAGCAGTGTCTAATCAGTTAATGAAGCCGTGTGCCTTAATGAGAAAAACAGCTACTCCATGTCAGGCTAGTAGTCCTATAATTAAAATATTTAATTATACATTTCCTGTTAATTGGTAATGACTAATTGAATATTAACACAAGTTGGTTAATATGATAGAAATGAAAATTTATGTATCTCATTTTTAAAAATGCATCTCTTTGCCATAAATTAAACAGTGTTAACACCGAGGTAAACTTAGCCTGACTCTCAGGGAGAGTACCAGCTATCTGATCACTGACTGCACAGCGCCTTGAACACGCGAGCACAAGCTAATGCTCGTTACAGAACAGACCAGGAGAACACGTGCTTACATCTTCTCACGGGCAAGTACAAAGAGCAAGGAGAAAGCACAGCTTAGAAATCAGAACTTTTAGATTCAGTCCTGCATCCATTTCTTCCCGATCACGTTGCCTTCCACGATACTGACACAAGCAATACAGGACACAAAATAAATCTTCCAGCACCTGGAATCTTGCAACATTAAACTTCAGAGATCTGACAGCGAAAGGAAATTGTCATGCATAGCTTTACTACCCGGATTGCAGAAAAACCCTAGGAACAGGGTGAAGTGCTGCAACTGGACTCGAGTAAATCCTCAGTGTGAACTATTAAACAGTCAAAAATGGCTACAGAGAAGAGGATTCATTCAGCCAGTGACTGACAGTGGCTTTCCTTGGAAGGATGGTTCATGCAACAAGAATTACTTCTTGCTTCACTTTTAAGAAACACTTTCCACACACAACAGCATTACACCTAAACCAACAAATACCCAGTCTGAGACAAAAAAAAAAAAAAGAAAGAAAGAAAAGAATGCTTTCCTTTTACCTGCAAATGTCAAAAATCATAAAAAACTTTTCTGTAAAAATGAAGAAAAATGATAGAGATGAGACATCCCCAAAATTTCACAAAGAAATTGCTCAGCAGAGTAACTGCCATTGCCACTCTCCCATTGCAACTTTAATTCAGAGGAGATAAGGATTCAGAGAAATAAGGATTCTTCTAATCTATACCTGATGATGGGAAATTCTTCTAATTGTGATGACTCTACCAAACTCCCATTTGAAATAAGAGAACAAAGTAATTCAGCTGAGGAAGGCTGAAACTGGAGGCTTATCTGGAAACAATGCGCAGAGTAGTGTTCTTAAAAATTCTGTTACGCCTTGGACAGAAACTCATGTTTGTTCCTTACTGTCACTGTTCTCGTCTTCATTACTCATGTTCTCCCCTCAAAATTTTCCAAATAAATGGTGTTAGGACTGTCAGAGCTGAATCCCACTCTCTTACTCTCCTGCCATGGAGGAGTTTGCAGGTGCAGGCACATGGCTTCACTAACCATCGTGCTGGCTCTTTCATGGCATTTTGGGGAGGGGGTGGGGAGCTCTAAGCCCAGCAGAGACGTGGGCTGAGAAAATGTAACAGGGAAGGAGGAAGGAAGGAAGAGATGGGAGAGCAGCAAGAGAAAGAGAAGGCCGCCTCTGCTGCCACTTGCTTCAAGAATGAGATGAATCTGTTTAATCTCTGGTTTGATGACAGCTTTTGAGGCGCTTAGTCAGGATTTTTTTCTTTTCCTAAAGAACCCATCACAGTGACAGACTGACATTTGTGATCTCAGCTGCCTGTGCAAACACCAGTAAGAGCAATAATTAATGAACCCTCAAACGTCACTGCCATCTCCTCTGAAACTATTTTAAAAGGAGCTTGAGCTGCTAAAACCTCTGTCCACAAAGAAACAGTCACAGCCAATAACTACATAATAGGCATTTACTAAAGTGTGCGCAATATCTTCTTGCCAGTTTCTAGGGGTTTTTTTTTCCTTTCATTATTCCATTTTTAGATGAGGGATTACTTAATTCCCTGGCATGTTGACTATGCATTAGCAATTTCATCTAGAGGAAACTCCCTCTTTACAAATCTTTCCTACCACATTTACCAGAATCATCATTTAAAATCATCTCCACTACTTCCAATGAACCCAAAATTAACACAGTTGTTCCAAAACCCATTTGCTTGTTGACTATTAATGAAGAGATGGAAATTCAAGATTAACATTTTATGAGCCAAGTTTGACAGCTGTGACCACCTCAGTTCCTCCCTGTTGCTGCATAATGCTGTGGAAACAGTTGTTTTGAAACGCGGGTATTTACGTCCAGATGAACATCTCATCCCCTCACACAACCAAGACTGCATCTCAAAGCTGCGTCAGAAACTTAAAGCGCCCATCTCTTGGAAGCACTCATGCTCATAAGAAACTCATTTATTTTGTGAATTCACCTCAATTTTTCTTAAAACACTACAGACAGATGTCTCAAAAATTCTTAAATAAACCCTTCAGTAACATTTAACCACACAATCTGTTTTCTAGTATCATCACACTGCCCTTAACATCACCATTCACTGATTTATTTCCCCCCCTGCATAGAGTTTAAAAGCAACTGCACTAAAACTCGTTGTC